GTTTTCGTCTGGACTAGAAAAAAAAACTTTAACACAATTATCAATATAAAGAAAAAATAAACTAATACTTAAACTTAAACCCTGGAGCTTCACGATAAACATGTGTCACTTTAAGGTGGTTCTTCACGATGGTGCCGTATCAAAGCGACACGGGACTCTGTGGTTTTCTAATTTTCGATTAGCGTATTATTTGCAACATAAAATATGTTGTACTGGCACTTGACTATAATATCATTGCATTTACATACAAATAAACATGCTAATGAAGTCAGAGTAAGAGTTATGAAAAAAAATTTTTTTGACGCAAGGTTCTGAAAATGGCATGTACGCTCCTACTCAAGCAGACGTTGCCGCCTATTTCTGCATGATCGATAACTGATTACGTTTACGATTAAATATCGTATACTATTTCCCTGATTAGCCCATACTTTTGTTATATTATTAGAAAGCTGAAAAGTTCTTTTTTCACTACAAACTTTTGCTATTACGATCTTAAGTCTACTTTACGAGATATTACATGATATCGTAGTATGGAAAAGTAACCTACATAAGAATACATATTTAAAAGTGCATTTTTTGCATATAAATCGCACAAATGAAAAAAAAATTCGCCAAGTATCATTTACGCTAAAGAAAATAATTTTTTTATTTTTAATTCTTTGATGTAATGTATTTAATTTATTTTTTCAGTATGTCCCTTGAACCGTGCTACTGCTAGAAAGAAGCATGAATTACCATTGTTTTCATTTGAAATGAAAGTAAAAAAAATTGGTCATTCATTTAAATCTTAAGTCACATTTAAAGCGCAATAAATCGCAATGAATAACACTTACATCGCATTTAAAACCATTTAAACGATGCAAATAAAAAAAAATTGTCAATTGTAACGTAGGTGGAAATTATTTTCCATTTTGAATGTGCAATCCTTTAACATAATGTGTTAAATTTCTTGTTTAGTATATCCATTGAATTTTACTAATGTTAGAAAAAAGCATGACTTACTATTCTTTTTATTTGAAAATGAAGTCATTACTATTCTTTTTATTTGAAAGTGTTTGTTTAGGTGACACTGATGGTACTTACCAATATGATTGCTAATCTTTGTATTTTAATTATTATCTCAATATTATTAACAGAGCATAATTGTAGTGTATTTCTCAAAATTGATTGATAAACTTACATTTTTTAGAATCCGAGTCCATAGATGCAGATCCGAGTGACGGACTCTCGAAGAGCGAGGCGAGGTACAGCAGCACTAGCAGTCTGAGCAGCGCTGCAACGGCCAGCTCACCCCAAACCATCCAAACCTCGAACACGGTGAAGTTAATAAGCTCGAACAACAGAAACAGTCAGTCTTCTCCAACTTCTTCGATCACAAGTGCATCGACGAATGTCACAGCTAGCTCGCAGACTCACATTATTAAACAAGTCTCGAGTAACAACAGCAGACCGCGAATCGTTAGGAGTAGCTGCAGTCCGACTTTTAGACCCATTGTTCCGAGCACAATGGCCGATAAGATCACCATTACCACTTCCAATGCGATGACAGTAATGCGACCGCAAACTCCACAACAGTTCTCGCCACTGCAACAGCAGCAACAGCAACATCAGTTAATTTCACAACAACAGCCGGTCTCAGTCACACAACAGCAACTGCATCTTCCGATAAACACGCAAGTGATAAGTACGTCTCCGAGTCTGGCAACCTTCATGCCGACGCATTTCGGACAGCAGCTGCGAGTGATACCTGCTGACGCGCGTCCATTAATAGTGCAGTCGAACGGCACGATAGCCACGTCATCGGCTAATGGTGAACAAAAGTCATTGCTGTTGGTGGCTTCGAATACTTCTAGCAACGAGAATCGTGTCACACTTTTACAGTCAACCTTAACTTACGCCAACAACGAAGGCCGCCCCTTGTTACTCACCACTCATGCGCCCGCCATAAGTGTCACTAGTAAGTATTCTTTTTTTTTATCGAGTGGTCGATAAAAATCTATCGAGTGAATGATTTATCCATGATGATCTATCGTTGCAGCTGCCCAAACGAGAATCCGAACGATCGAAGCTACGCAAGCCACTTCAAAAAGGATTGGTGGCGTGGCGTTGGTCGGAGGTGCGGGTCCCGAACTTGCGAGGTTGCCAGGAGGAGCGGAACTGAACATTCTACCAGCTAATGGCATTTTTCGATCAGTGAAAGCACCTGTGACCGGTAAGTTCATAATTCTTCTCATTCTTTCCACTTGATTGGCTAAAGGCTCATTAGTAAGAGCCAGTGCAGCCATAATCAAGTTAAAACTTCCTTTGAAAGTGCGAAAACGCACATTTAACCTGTACAAAGTTCTCCCGTTCCCGACTATATATCGACGCCCCGGGCGAAGACTATGCCCTGCTTCGAAACCTGGACGAAGACTATGCCTTTTTCCGCTGTCTGGACGAAAACTATGCCTTCTTGTCTGTTCCAGACGAAAACTATGCCCTTTTCCGGAGTTCGGACGAAGACTATGCCCTTTTCTCGCGCTCGGACGAAAACTATGCCCTTTTTTCTAGTTTATCATTAGATATATAGTCAAATATACTTATATAGTGGTTGTTGTTTACATTTATATAAATAATTGTCAATAATAATACTCCATTATACAATAATAATACAAACTCAGAAATGTTTTTATGAGCATGGTAATTTGCAATTAATGAATATGAAAGACTCTTTTATGTTTTATTTCCAAATTTATTATTTTTTCTACATTTTTGTTGATTATAATAAGTAACTAATATAATTATTGTTACTTGAAGTAAAAAAATTAATAAAATTTGTACAATTCGTGATATAATAAAATATAATATTCGTAAGAAAATTGAGAAAAAAGTAAACTTTTTTTTATTAATTAATGTTTGTAAGACATGCATATTTGGATTACAAAGTATTTTTCAACAATCCAGTTTAAATTAATTACAGTTATTATTGTATACAATTTATGGAATCTTTTAAAAAAAGCTCAAGAACCCCTTTTTTCAAACACTTACCAAAACTCCAAATACTTAGCCGTTAGACCTGCTAAGAATACATGTTGTTTTTCTACAAAGGCATCTGTAGATTTACATACATGTGAATCTTGATGTGAAGATAAAACTTATATAGACATAAATATATACACCAGTATCGAGAAATCTGGAAATGTTAAATCATTTTCAGATTTTCAGAAGCTTCGTATTCGTGAGCTTCTTTCAGCGTACTAGTAGCTAGTAGAAGGGTTAG